TAAGCACAAGAGCAAAAGCAGACTCTGCAAAGCCACTGCTTTCTTGTGACCTCCACACAGATGAAAGGGAGGGATTAGACTGAGCGTTGGCTCTCCCCCCAGCAAATGCAGCATCCTTGTAGCTGCCCCAAGTGACATAACACATAGCTGTTTGTACTTCCCCTTGCATAGTATAGATTGTAAATGAAGATGTAGCCCAAAATACTCAAAGAAGATGCCCATAGTCCTGATAAAGTTGCACACCAAAAATAAGCACAAATTTGGTGGCAATGAAAAACGGATAGGTAGGTAGATACTAACCTCTACTGAAAAGATTCACAAATTTGCATTGTCTGCCTGTCTAATTAAACATTAAAAGTTGTCACACTGGGTGCTCATTCAACAAAGCTCCAATGTTTAGATACTTCTGATGATAACTTCTTAAGACCTTCTTTTTGTATAAAGAGTCAGGGGTTATATCCATTAGATTTGTCAATATTTGTATTGTCACCTTTTGTAACTAGAACATCTTTCTACCCAGTAAAAGGATGGGATTGGGTTGAACCTTCAGCTCTGGGACCCTCCCACCTTGCAGGGTCCTAGAGCCTGGGCTCCAGCCCATCTCTGGAAGTCTATAAGGCAATGAAAAAGCCCCGCAGACTGAGCCTGGCAAGCCTGGGTTGGCTGGCATGGGCCAATCACAGGTTTTTCTTTGCTGTGTAGACATACCCTAAGAGGCCCAGTACAGCACTGTCAGCACAGGGCAGCAGCTGTGAACCCATATGAACCTCGTCTGCTTTCGGGGCCAGAGCAGCCCTGGCCTAATATTAGGTAGTTCCTCAGGAAAGTCTGTCCCCAGCTTTCTTTGCGCAGCAGTATTGCCAGAATTTCCACAGTGCTGCATGCTCCAGACCCCCTGAGGCACATCCTTCCTGTCCCCAGACCTAGCACATCCCTTATCCCAGGACTTGCCAGGGGTTCCTTGAAGCCTGGATGCCTTCCTCAGTTCCTATTTTTCACCCATCTGAATCTGGTTCTATTAGGGTCCCTTTATGCTGCTCTGGCACTTTATCTCTCAGGTAAAAGGGCCCAGAGCCATCATGGAAATCTCACTCATGGATTAGAAGTGGCATATGCATTTATGTTATGATACTGTACAGTAATCACAGATGTTTGAAGTTATTTATTTAATTCACAACGTCTCTGCCATATATTAGCAAATTCCTTTAAAAAATATTGAGGCAAAAGCTGCTGGCTCTCTCTACTGAGTAGAAAACTGCCAGACAGCAGAAACCCAGAAGCACTTACCACACATCTAAATGTTGCAACTGCTGTTCCTACTGCTGAAGTGGAGAACCAATTTCCAGTGACTTTCTTGCATTGTTGAGTACAATGGAGAAAATTGGAGTGTGTGATCATGCACAAAACTGCAGAAGCTAATGCTACAATTGCCTTCAACCAGCATGATGTTCATTGGGCTTCAGAGTTATGGTGTGCAAAAAGGGCTTAGAAATGGTTGTTCAAAGTTGAACTTCAGAGCAACTTATCTACTACTCATGATTTTAAGAGATTCTCCAATTTTCTCTTTAACTTTCCTCCTTCCTTTCAGTCCATATACATAGCCTTGAACCCTTCCTAACTCCTGATTGGACTCCTTGTCTCTTTTAGCTATTTAATATCCCATTCCAACCCATCAGTCACCTGCCCCTTCTTGGTTCTGACCCATTTGCCTAGTTGCTGTACAGCTCTCACCTATCTGTGCATTACTGGTCCATTGGTGGAGCTATGCCTATAAACACCAGCTACCCCCTCATTCAAGCAGTATTATGTTTAAATTGGTACTCACCCTGTATAATCTACTTCATAATCAGTAGGCCACTTGCTTGTCAACTCTCTTTGTACTTCTATTTGCTCCCCTCCTAGCCTCCATTGTGACTACCTCTCAGACTTCTCAGAACTCCTGTCCCCTCTCCTCCCAACTCCATCAGCAACATCAGGTTTCTCCCTTTCCCACTCCATTATCACCAGTGCTTGATGCCAGTTCAACCCCTGGCAGCCTGCCCATCTTCACAACTGCTGAACATTCCCCTGCACAGTCTCTTACATTTTGGGGCCATATCATCAACTGGTATAAAGTGTTGTAGCTCCATTTACTACAATGGAGTGATACTGATTTACACCAACTAAGAATCTGGTGGTTTTTTTTCCCTATTGCACTCTCCATGCACATTAGCACTCCTGATCCAACCCTTTCATCTCTGTGCACTCATCCCATCCCAACCCCTCTTCTGATTGGTCTCCCATACTACTTCATCCTTACAACATTCCATTCCACAGCAGCAAATGTTAGCAGGACCTCACCCATCTATGGCAGAACTATAGGCCCATCTCATGTTTTCTGAATAGAGATCCATACATGAAATCAGTCCACATCTCCCCTCCTGTGTTGGGTCAATTCACAGAAAATATTTTACCAAAACTCATTTAACTAAAATGTTTTACATATATTAGGCACAAAGCACTATGTTGTATGTGAGTTAAGGTTCCTCTATACATAACATACCTTACACAAAAGCAAGAAAGTGATAAATTAAGGCATCTGACATGGCATACCTTTTACTCTTCAACACAGAGATGCACACTTCACCTCTAGGAAAACCATCATGCCACAAACCACCTATAACCCAACACCTCTACTGCCTCCCATGACATTGCATCACTTTAGTAGTACTACTATATTTGGGCTAAGTTTGTATGACTTTTTTTTAAAAGTGTGCCTCCAGGAACTCTGTCTGGGTTACATATATATATTTTTTTCATGGCTTCTAATATTTGCCATTTAGAATCTGTTTGTTTTGTCTATTAATATTTTATTTGTTTAAAATAAACACACCATTGCATTATGGCACATGATTGCACAAGCATCGTTGCCTTATTATTTGAATGCATTAAATGTTAAAGCAGTCATTCCCGAAGTGGTGTCATATAGCAGTGTGCTTGATTTGTGGGGTTTTTTTTTTTTGAAATGCTGTAGTTTTAGGTTTATATTAGAGTACTTATTATGAAAACCCAGTAGCCTATTTCTTAGTGCTGGGTAAAGAACATATAGCCATGATAGTTTTTAAGCTAAAGTGGATTTTTTTTTAAACTGAAACACCTGAAGCAAAAAAAAAAAAAGCTTACTTCACTCAAAATCTACACCTTCCTTCAATCTGAAAAGAGACTGCTGAGGTTGGTAAAACTAAAATTTAACTTTCAATGACAGTTTTACCATTTTAAAGTTCTTCTTGCCTTGAGGGATATCTAAATTATTCTTCTTTGCTCTTGCTATCTCACTGGCTCTACTTTAGTTTTTCTTCTGCTTCCATATGAAGTGTTTACATTTCAGTAGATTTTTTTTCAGTTTGTCTCTCTAACACTGATTATGCTTATTTTTGTCGAAAAAGACATAACTGTCAAATTAAAAGTAAACAGATCAGCAAACAACTGCTATCTATAACATGGCCCACTTGTAATGTGTACCACTTGTTTACTGAAAAATCAGTCACAATTTAAACAAACATTTTCAAGCCTGAATTATTCATCATTAGAGGAAAAAAGCTTGCCATAATAGTCTGTTTAAGGAAAGAAAATACTTAGTTCTTCTACAAAGCCTTTCATGGATGGATCTTAAAGTATTTTATAAACATTATCTCCACAACATACCTGTAAATTAAATAAATATCTCCATTTTACAGATAGGAAAACCGAGGCACAGAAAGATTCTCAATGTTATAGAGACAGTCACTGACAGAACTGAGAACATGGTCTTGATCAATTGTCTCTAATCCTATGTTTCAACTTCTAGATTATCTTCTTTCAAAATGGGCCATCAAAGTAAATCAGTTTTGGTCTTATGAAACATGGTAGTTTCAGTACTGTAAAATGGAATCAGTCTATCTAAGTAAGTGGAAATATAGTGGAAATAGAATTTCACCTTTGATTTAAATAAGGTGCAAAATAAGTAAGGCACTGCTTAACTTTAATCATATGAATAAATCCATCTCTATCCAGCAAAAGACCCAGTTGAATTTAAGCAAAACTTTTTTTTCTTAAGTCACCAGTGTTGAAATGTTACCTAATATCTCTTTAGTCCTTATCATCTTTTACACAGTTTGGCATATTGCTGGTTAGAACAAAGACATTCATGTTGCTTAAATGCATTGCTGAATGGGGGTCTCTACTCTACTCTTATTTTTAAACTTTTTGCATCTCCCCACAAAATTGGAAAATGCGGGGGGAGGGTAGTTTTTCTCTTTCCCCTGTGGCATGGGTCACTTGCTGATTTAAACTAGAATAAATGGTGAATTCTCTTTAACTTGAAGTCTTTAAATCATGATCTGAGGACTTCAGTAACTCCACCAAAATTATGGGTCTATTGCAGGAGTGGATGGGTAAGATTCTGTGTCCTGTGATGTGCAGGAGGTCAGACTAGGTGATCATGATTGTCCATCTGGCCTTAAAGTCAATGAGGCTATGAATCTTTTTTTTATTATTATTATTAAAGTCTCTGATACTTGAAAATACTTTCTCAGCAGCAGGAAATCTTCCTTGAATATAGGAAAGGACAACAGGAAGAAATCAAAGAACATGAATATGTTTTGATAAACAGAAAAAAGTTGTTTTGAACTACCCTATCTGCAGTGTTCATCAATGTTTCAAGACGTGTGAAAAGGAAATATAAGAAAGACCAGTGTTCACAAGTCTCTGCTCAAAAGTATCTCATGACATTTTATGAATGGAAGTAATAATACATGAAAAAGATTCTGGTGCCAAGTTACCTACAGAATCTTTATTATGGGGTTCATATGAAACCCGCTTGATCAAATAAAAATGTACAAAGAACTGATCAGACAAATTAATCACTTCCCTAATATATCCTTGATTATCATACATATAGGTATCCATTGTAAGCTGTCTGCATTATTTAACATTAAAATACAGCATATGAATTCTTATTTTTGTTGTTTTGGCTTTTGCAGACATCCAATAGGACCTTTGACATTCCTCTCACTTTGTCTGGAGCAGTAGTTTTACGGGAGAGACTAAATTATGAAGAAAAGACACGTTATTTTGTTATTGTTCAAGCAAATGTAAGTATGGATTCCAAAACTGTTATTTCTGTCATAGATTCCTCAGGAGCAGGGGATAGGGCATGGGGTCATCTTTTCTACATGTCAGGAGTAGGTGTTCTTTTTCTTAAGTCACCAGTGTTGAAATGTTGCCTAATATCTCTTTAGTCCTTATCATCTTTTACACAGTTTGGCATATTGCTGGTTAGAACAAAGACATTCATGTTGTGAAATAAGACATTCTTTTGGCATGAGGAATAGATTATATATTTTAAGTATAGTGCATGTACAAAAGTACATTCTAGTGTCACAGAGAGTTTGTTTTCTGACATATCTAGCTATATTAATGTGATCTGAAATTAGTTTAATGGATACAATTTAACTGTATCCCTGAGCTTTGAAATGGAGCCTTCTAAAATGAGGCAATTTTTCTTTCAATTCACACTGTATGTGTGTTAAGTGTTTTTTACAGGATGACTAGCAGTGGATAATGCATGCTGAGAATAAAAGTGACATTTAAACTGTATCTAATATAGCTGTCATTGGGAGAAGACTTTAGGTGTCCTTGAAGACAATGAAAGTTATTTTTCCTCTTCTTTTTACAATAAAATTTGTATTTTTAATAAGTGGATGAAAGAATTCCATTCCATTCCTATGCAGCAGTTATTAATTCCACACAAATGGTGTAGTGGTTGAACAGGATTCTGTCAAATAACCTTAGAAGTGTTTGCTTCTGAAAATATCTATGTACATTTGTGCTGCCTTGTTCAACGTTGTGCCAAAGAGAGGAAAGAATCTACTTGAAAATTCACCCTCGTCTTTAATAAGTATCTCAGGCTTTTTATAGTAATCCAGATTAAAACAGATTTTAGGCCTCAGAATCTGCAAAGAGGACCACAGTGATCTTTGTCCTTCTCTGGGAGCACCACATGGGACAGAAACCAGACTGGGCTTCCCCTCTCACAAATCCAACACTGTGTCTCAATGGCCCATCCCACCTCACCTGTGGGGACTTCACCTAGGGCTGGAGCTCATGCAACAAGGTTGAGGGGGAAAGAGAGCCAGGGCTGGCTCTCTACAGCATCTGGTTTTGGTGGCTCATTCTTCCACTTTAGGGACACTAGATGGGGCAAGAGCTCCTCTCAGCTCCTGAGCTGGAAAGACAGAGAGCTTGACTGTGTGGTTTCAGAGTAGCAGCCGTGTTAGTCTGTATCCGCAAAAAGAAGAACAGGAGGACTTGTGGCACCTTAGAGACTAACAAATTTATTAGAGCATAAGCTTTCGTGGACTACAGCCCACTTCTGGGACTCCTCCATCACTGACAACCAGCAGGACCTGGTCCCAACAGTCCATCCATGCTGGGGGATAACAAACTTCTGTTGCCGTTGCTGCCTGATATAGTTAGTTATGTAGCCTAAGTGGTAGTAATCTGTACTGTATTGCTGAGTAATCTCTACTGTATTTTTGAAGGGTCAGAGTTCAAACCTTGCTGATCATATGTGATGGAGGGGCTATTATAGCTGCAGAGAATATTATTTGCTTTTTCTAGTAGTTTTTAATAATGAAGAAAAAGGTAAATTACATACAAAAATAAGTTAAAAGAATGTTGTTTAGGTTGCAAAGTTAACTATGAAAAAAGTTAGGAAATGGCAGATTTATCATTGCTCCCTCTCTCATTGTGTGTATGCATTATGATACTGTCTTTAATTACATACTGTTATTTCCACCGGCCATCTGCCCCATTCAGTGCACAGGATGGATGCACAAGGGAGCTGAATTAAGGTTGCGTGGGCAACTATAAATCTGGCATTCCCTAGCTTTCAAGTGTTGGACTTTGCAACATAAATAGCATTCTCTTAAAGTACACCTTTACCCCGATATAATGCTGCACATTCCTCGGGCTGCGCCGCTTCCCGCAGCCCCCATTGGCCTGGATCAGCGAACCATGACCAGTGGGAGCCACGATTGGCCAAACCTGCGGACGCGGCAGGTAAACAAACCGGCCCGGACTACCAGGGGCTTTCCCTGAACAAGCGGCGGACCGGCTTTGAGAAGCACTGACCTAAGTAACACTTCTCGCTGGTCTCTCAGAAATGGGAATGCATGAAGTCCCCCAAAGAAGAAAGAAAGGTTACTAACCAGTAACTGGTTCTTCTTTGGGCATTGACACTTCCTGTGCCTCATGTTTAGCACATGCATAAATCTTTGCAGGATTAATATCATAGTGACCCATCCTATATAATTTCCATAATATAGCTACTTATATGAATGAGAACTACTTGAGTGAGTAAAGGTTGCATGTTTAGGCCATTTTATTAAGATGATGTTAAAAAAGATAGTGAACAGAGTTTGAGCATAGAAGTTTCTGGTTATCAGGGAATAATGTACAGATTATCGAGGGTGCAAAGTTTGGTTTAAAATCAGGTGGCATAAGGAATACATAATCTGCAATATCTCCGATTGGGGATAAAAGGTTGATGGGTCAAAATACAGGCATTGAGCTATGAGGGTATGAAGTTCATATAGTGGCTATGTATGGGTGTGGAGTATAATGAGTAGATATGATGATGAGGATGGATTGACCCTCATTTGGTGAGATTTAATGTTCAGGGAGTTTATGGTTCCAGTTCATATGATCCAATGGAGAAAGTCTCTTGGTCCCTTTCTCATAGTCGAAAAACAATGTTACTCTGGCTCACGCCTCCTGGTACTGTCGGTGGCCGGTGATGTACTCGATGTAGATGTCCCTGGACCATCGGGTGGTGTCTGAGACCATGAGGCGCCGCATGAGCCGTGCATAGCGTCGACCGATCCCGCAGGTCCGCAGCACACGCTCATTGCAGGGGTCCCAAGCGCCCAGGGCTCCGACAATCAGGGCATCCGTCTGCACCTCGTGGCCCTTCGCTCTCAGGGTGTCAGCCAGGGGGGGCGTACTTTTCCAGCTTACGAGCTCGGGCTTCACAAAATGCCGGGGTCCTGTTCTCAAAAGAGACCGTGACGTCAATGAGGATGATCTTTTTCTGGGCCTCGTTGGTGATGACCATGTCAGGTCGTAGCTCGCTGTCGGTACCGGGGATGGCGCAGTTCACAGAGATCTCCCCCAGGCGTGGTGTGATGGCTTTCACCAGGCGGTTTTGGATGGCATTGTGGCACAGCTGCCAGGCTCTGGAATGGGGTTTGCAGCAGCACAGGACGTGGGATAGGGTCTCGTTGGAGTAGCCGCAGTTCCTGCAACGCTTGTCTCGGTTCCCGTGGTGGACTGCTCCGTTGAGCGGGACATGCTAAAATCTGGTACTGTAATCAAACAGGAATTGATTTCAATGAAGTTTTGAGTGCTCAGGTGTTGTAGAAGAGCGCTCAGAGAATAGTTTATTTACCAAAAAAATTCAGTTTTCATCAACTCAAAACTATTTGCAAATTTGCAGAATGTTTTTGGCCACATTTTTTTCAGGCTGGATTCACAAGGGGACTTAGGTGCCATTAACAAAATGGTCAGAGGAGGTAGTAGTTGTGGTGCTCCCCTTATGCCTAATAGCCCAGTGGCTAGCACCTTCACTGAGGCTGTGGAAGTCTGAATTCAAATTCCTTCTCTGGAGCAGGGAATTCAGTGCATGCCTCCCTCTCGCAGGTAAGTACACTTACCACCACACTATAGGGTATTCTGGGATAGGTCTTTGTGTCTCTCCTATTGAAGTTGTTCCACTTTATATAAATAAATAGTTAGTGGGCCAGAGAAAGTGAGGATAATTTTATAGTCTAGTGATTAGAGCTCTCACCTGGGAGTAGGAAGACCCAAGTAAAAGTTCCTACTCCAGTTATTATTCATTATTTATACATATTATCTTGAAAGAGAAAGTGGAGTGTGAGGTGAAGATCAGACCAAGTATCTAATTTATTCCGTCTAATGCTTTTCATTCCAGAGGATCAAAAAGTACGTAAATTGCTGTATTAAAAAGGCATCATATCATCCACCATTGAAATGCAACTACTCCTGGGGTGAAGCACAGAAGCTGTTTCTGTTTAACAATGTACAGCGACATTAGTCCTTGTTTTAAGACAGAAGAATATCATAGTCATTTGAAACCAAAAGGGAAATTTTTGCAAGTTTTCACTAGTATTTTCTCCAGTTAATATATTTTTGCTTAATTCTGTTTTTACACATGATCTATTATCAAGATGTAGCTTCAATTACAAAATACACTGTATAAGACACTAAAAAAGATGGCATGGCCCCCACTTTGATGAGATTATAAATTTGGTTGATAAAGGTATCTGTGTTAACATAATACTTAACTTCTGTAAGACATTTCATGCTCCGATTTAAAAAAAAAATAGCAGGACATTTTGATTACAAATAATTGCATTACACAAAATCAATGTAGCCCATATTACAGGGATAAAAATGTATTGATAGAACTAAAAAGTACTTGTAAATGGGGAATCATAATTCAGAAGGGGTGTTTCTAGTGGGATACTGCAGGGATCTGTTCTTTGCAATTCGGTATCTTTATCAATGATCTGAAAGAAAATATCAAAGACATTGCTGGCAAAATTTGCAGATGACACCAATATTGGTGGCGTGGTAAATGATGCGAACAGGTCAGTTTTACAGACCAATCTGAATCACTTGATAAGGTGATCTCATTTGAACAGCAAGTTTTTAATATAGCTGAACACCAGGTCATACATGTAGAAATGAGGAATGTAAGTCACACTTATAAAGTGAGAGGAAGGTTCTGAAATGCGATGGCAATGAAAATGCCTAGAGTTAATGTTTATACAACCAGTAAATATGAGCTCACGGTGTAGTGTAGCAAAGATGGCAGTTCCAATCCTGGGTTTCCTAAGCAAGAAAATATCAAGTACGAGTAGGGAGGTAGTATTACCTCTGTGTACAACATTAGCGAGACCATTACTGAAAGATTGTGTCCAGTTCACACTCCAAAAAGGTTGCTGACCAATTGGAAAGGGTTCAGAAAAGAGCAACAAGAATATGATTCAACGTCTGGAAAACATGTCTTATAGGGTATGTCTACCCTGCAAGTGAAGGTACAATTGTAGCACTGGAAGGCATACCCATACTAACGTTAGTTTAGCTAGTACAGGTAACAATACAGTAACTCCTCACTTAACATTTTAGTTATGTTCCTGAAAAATGCGACTTTAAGCGAAACGATGTTAAGTGAATCCAATTTCCCCATAAGAATTAATGTAAATTAGGGGGTTAGGTTCCAGGGAATTTTTTTTCACCAGACAAAAGACCACACACACACACACACACACACACACACACACACACACACACACACACACACACACACACAGTATAAGTTTTAAACAAACAATTTAATACTGGTACACAGTGATGATGATTGTGAAACTCGGTTGAGGTGGAGGAGTCAGAGGGTGGGATATTTTCCAGGGAATGCCTTACTGCTAAATGATGAACTAGCAATTGGCTGAGCCCTCAAGGGTTAACTCTCACAGTCTACAAGGCAGCAGGAATGGAAGGAGGGGAGAGAGTATCACAAACAGAGACACACACTGTGTGTGTGTGAGAGAGAGATGCGCATTTCCCCTTTAAGTACACTGCTTTGTTAATTAGATCAGCTTGCTGAGACCGCAGCTGCTGCTGCCAGCAAGCTCCCTCTGTCCTGAGCCCTGTTGTGTGTCCCCCCTGCTCTTTGGAAGATGGGGTAAGTGGGGTGCAGCAGCAGGGGGAGGGGGACACCCTGACATTAGCCCCCCTTTTCCTCCCCTCCCCCCCGCACAGCAAGCAGGAGTCTCGGGGAGCAGCTCCAAGGCAGAGGGCAGGAGCAGCACATGGCAATGGGGGGAGGGACAGCTGCTGGGCAGCTGCTGCACAGGGAACTTAGGGGAGCGGGGAGCTGATAGGGGGGGCTGCCGGTCCACCCTGGTTCCAAGCCCCCACCAGCTAGCTGCAATGGACTGCTCTTTCTGCAAGCAGTGGACAAAGCAGGTGGCTGCCAAACGACCTTAGAAGGGAGCATTGCACAACTTTAAACGAGCATGATCCCTAATTGATCAGCAATGTAACAACGAAACAATGTTAACCGGGACAACTTTAAGTGAGGAGTTACTGTAGTAGCAGAGTTGTTGGCACGGGCTAGCAACGTGAGTAAAAAAATAGAATCCCCAGTGTGCTTGTACAGGGGTAACCTGCCTATGCTGAAGCTTATTCCACCTCATCTGCATTATTATTGTCACCTTTGCTGGTAGATTAAAGCTAACACAGCTATGCTTACCTGTGCTACAATCATACCTTCATTGGCCGTGTAGACATACCTACATACTATGGTGATGCATTTAAGAAGCTCAATCTTGTTCTAAAAGTACCTACATGAGGAAAACATTTCTGATACAATACATATCATTAATCTTCCAGAAAAAAATAACAAGAGCCAGTGGGTTGGAAGCTAGAGCTAGAGAAATTCAGGCTAGAAATAGGGTGCATATTTTTAAACATTGGAATAACTTACCTAGGGCTGTGGTGGATTTTACATAATGTGAACTCTTCAAATCAAGAGTGGATATCTTTCTAAAAGATATTCTGTAGCTCAAACAGACGTTACGGGTTTGATGCAGAAATTACTGGATGAAGTCCTATGACCAGTGTTATGTAGAAGGTCAGACCAGAAGATTATAATGGTCCCTTCTGGTCTTAACATGTATGAATTAAGGAGAGCACTTTAGTTTATACTTAGGTCCATCACTATTCAGAAAAACATTTTTTAAATGGTTAACACCCCCTGATGTACCTAAATGCTGTGTAGAATAGGAACAGATTTAAGCATGTGCTGAATCAAGGTCATGCTGAAAAGATAACAAATTAAGATGGGATCATGAATTAGTAGTAGTGATAGTTGTATTTTCTAAGGTGTCCTTCTGCATAGTACATTGGTGTATTCAGTGCTTGAGATCTGGGCCTACTAGTTTGAGGGTCCTCAATTTAGTAACAAGTAATCAAGACTAGAATCTGGATATTACCTGAATATTACCAGGGAAATAACAAGGAATTATTTTTGAGGAACACGAAAGAAATATTTCTCAAAGGAAGTGGGGGAAATTGAAAGGATTGTCTCTTACTATGTGTTTGTACACTGCCTAGCACAAAGGGGTCTAGTCTTAGTTGGGTTCCCTAGCAAGGGCTCGTACAGTGAGAGACAAAATCTCCTTATTCACTATGAATTTGCAAGAACTGGCAGAACTGTCGTTGTCTTGCACACATTGAAGTTGGGCAAAGGGAGTTAAATAAACTATTAGAAGAGACACCCAAAGTTTTGATTAATCTTTTTAAAAAAGAACCCATGACTTTTTTGAGGTTTGTCTCATATTTTCTTTAACTTCGGAGGAGGGCAGATTTGATATTGGAAGAGAATGTGGTATTGTGGCATTCATAATGAGCATGTGGATTTGTATGGTTGTGATGATGGGGAGCATGGAGGTGACGTCAAAGTCAATGCTTCTGTAACTAGCAATTTCCCAGATTTTTCATGATTGTTTTGATAGGATATGTTCATGATCAATCTTAACTTTGTTAAAAAACGTTTTTGTGTGGGCCGTGTTCTAAATTCTCTAAATCATATTTATAGAAATACCCTTTTCCTCCACAGGACAGGGCTCAAAATCTTAATGAACGAAGAACAAGTACAACCACCCTCACAGTTGATGTGCTTGATGGGGATGATCTTGGACCAATGTTTCTCCCATGTGTCTTAGTGAACAACACTCGTGACTGTAGGCCACTCACCTACCAAGCCAGCTTACCAGAGTTCACTGATCCTGTAAGTACTCAATGAACTCTCTTTCTTGGGTTCTTAATTTCTCCTTCACTCTTTCCTAAACAAGTACCGGTATTATGTTTTTCTACAGACAAAATAGGAAACTATTATACATTTTTGTTAGTTATTGTGTACCTAATTAGAATAAGTGCTTCCATTTGCAGGCATGAAATACACATCTAGGGCTGAGTGAGGTTCTAGTGGGGTGAGCCACCTTGGCACTCAACTTGAAGTTTGCAGATGGAATTGAGAGACAGGGACAAGCTGAGGTCCCTGGGAACAAAGAGGGGACAGGAGCAGAGGGACAGGTTTGATGGGGCAGGGACAGAAGAGGGCAAGCTGTGGGGCACAGGAGCAGAAAGGTCTTAAAGCACTAGAGCAGGGGTCTCAAACTTAAATGACCACGAGGGCCACATGAGGACTAGTGCATTGAACCGAGGGCCGCATCACTGACACCCCCCCTCGCTGCCTCTGGCCCCGCCCCCACTCCACCCCTTCCATTAGGCCCCGCCCCTGCCCCACCTCTTCCCACCCCTTCCCTGCCCCAATCCAACCCCTTCCCCGAAGTCCCCACCCCAACGCTGCCCCCAGGGTGTGCAGAAAGGGTGCAGGGTGCACCAGGGGGCTCAGGGCAGGGCGTTGGGTGGGGTGCAATAGGGTGAGCGGTGCGGCAGGGGGCTCAGGGCAGGGAGTGCAGGAGGGGTGTGGGATGTGGCAGGGGGCTCAGGGCAGGGGGTTGGGGTCTGGTATGTGGCAGGGGGCTCAGGGCAGGGGGTTGGGGTGCAGGAGGGATGTGGGATGTGGCAGGGGCCTCAGGGCAGGGAGTTGGGGTGCAGGGTGCGGGCTCCAGCCCGGCGCCACTTACATAGAGCGGCTCCGGGGTGGCAGCGGTGCACACCGGAGCCAGGGCAGTCTTCCTCCCTGCCTGCCCTGGCCCCTGGCCCTGCGCTGCTCCGTTCCAGGAAGCAGCTGGAATCCTGTCCCTGCAGTCCCTGGGGGAGGGAGGGGGCTCAGGGTTTTGTGTGTGCGCTGCTCTTGCCGCTTCTCTAGGTACCTCCCACGAAGCTCCCATTGGCCGCCGTTCCCTGTTCCCGGCCAATGGGAGCTGCGGGGGGCGGTGCCTGGAAGGAGGCAATGCAGGAGCCTTCTTCCTCCTTCCCTCTCCCTCGCCCCCGGCCCAAAGGGGCGTGCTGCCAGCCGCTTCAGACAGCGGCGCAGGACTCACAATGCCACAGGGGGCAATCCTGTGGGTAGGCAGAGGGGCGGGGGGGGCACGTGGGGAGCCTGGCGGGCCACACGCAAGAGCCGTGCAGGCTGCGTGTTTTAGACCATTGCACTAGAGTATGCTGTCCTCCAGAATCTGGAATGGAACCAAGTATTCCTGATAGAAAACATTCTTCTGCTGCCTGGCAAAGAGCTGTGAAACCACTGACAAAGTGTGTGTCTCATTCCCCTTTCAGGCCTGATCTACATAGAGGATAGTAGCCCACTTCTAGTACCTGTTGGTCTGTTAACTCAAGTGGTAGAGGCATGTGCTTTGGATTTAAAGATTCCAACTCAGTGTTATGATTTTAGGCCTAGGTATGTTATGGTCTGGAGGGAGCACCTACATAATTTAACATCTAGTCTCCATGCCTATGCATTGCTTGCCTCATTGTGGAGAAGGCCAAGAGGGTGTTCATTAACTGAAATGTCTATACACTAGTGACTAGGACTGAGTCTGCTAATTCATATCACAACTGAATAGCTGTTAACATAAGATAATAATGTTGACTTGGGTCAGATTTTAACCAGTCTCCTACAGATATTTGACTTCATATCCCATTACTAGGAGCACTATTTATGGAAGAAAGGACATTTCAGATATCTTCTATTTGGGTTTTTTCTATAACTTATGCTATATTAGGGGTCGGCAACCTATGGCACGCGTGCCAAACATGGCACGCAAGCCGATTCTGAGTGGCACGCTGCTGCCCACTGAGAGGAGGAGGGGCGGACGGGCCGGAATGCACTACGCTGTGGGAAGAAGAGGGGGAGAAGGGAAGCGTGGCTGCCACAGGATCAAGCTTCTGCCTCCTGCCCCCTCAGGGGAGAGCGGTGGGGGGGTCCGGCCCCCGCCCCGACCTCACGCCCCCCC